AATACACTATTCTGTTGCTAATTTTTATCCAGGATTTTGGGCAAAGCCTTCCATTTCCCAGAACTCAAAGCAGAAACTGTGAACTAATGGGCCAAAAATAGAATTATACATTAAGAAAAATTGGAATGAGCTGCCAACCTAGTGGTTATCAATTTCTGTAGAAAACTGAGATCCAGCAGCACAGCTGGTGGATGCTGCCCCGAGATAGGTCCAGCTGTTGATAGAGTCTTGTCTTCCCCAGTTCGCCTTGCAAGGCATCTCAGTTGCTTCTGCAGCTGGACCATCCAGACCTCCTACTCTATCTCCTAGACTAACCTATTACATGGAAGCGGGGAGGAGCAAATTCTGCATCTCTAGCAGAACCTGGAAGCCAGAGAGGATGCTGGTTATGCTTGAGTAAATGCATGCATTCTGCTGCTTTTCCCACGGAATAAAACAGAGGTATTTCATCATTTATTGAATCTTTGTTGCTTGGCATTGTTGAAAACAGTCCTCTTTGCCAAATTATTTGCACATCTGCTGTTTCTCTTGACAGTGTTCGCCTTCTCACAAAGATCTGACCGGTTTTTATGGGTCCTTTTTGTAAATACAGACTCCATGTCAAGACATGGTCATTACTGCCACTGTGTGGCTCATTTTGAAAGTACTTAAAAAAATAAAGCAGGCATTTGGACCTTTAAACTGAAGCGCTGAAGCTTTCTAGCCTGCATAGCTCATGTACATGTTGTGTGACTTTACACCGGGGATATGTTCTTAGCAACGCACCGTTTGATTTCACGGGGCGCATACATCACTGAGTGTAGTTGTACACACCTATGTGGAATAAGTCAATCTTTGACACGGCCTCCTGACACAATCAAGAGGCAGGTTATAAAGAGGATGGATGACCCTGCTCCTGTCCTGACCGCCCCTACAGTTTCACCATGATTAGAAGGTGTGCCTCAGGGTGCACACAGTGGTAAAATCACCCTTTATTATTATCAAGCACTCTTCTGCTCATAATTAAGCATGTAATATGCATCTATATAACTGGCAGTGGAGTAGGCATGTTTACACCAGGATTGCCACCGGCACTGTGGTGTTGCACAACTACATCACAGTAGTGATAGAAGTCTTTTAGCTCTGATAATTTTATGGGACCGTTATGATATATGCAGTCTGTCTGTCCACAAGGTTGCTGTGTGAACAGGACTATACGTTTCCTTAAAGGTAAAACTCAAACAGTAATAGCATGTAGTCTGCTTTCTAAAACTCTGCATGCTGAGTGAGCACATGAAAACACCCACACATGAACACAGAATAACACCTGTACAATACAATCCGTATCTAAGTAACACAATTTAGATATGTATGTGTATATATTCAATATATCCACTTCATTTGCATCAGTGGGTTCATCTTTATACCTTGTTATATCTTGTTTTTACTCTTTGATGTCTTTAGTGTTCATTTTTGAACATTAGTATCATTTCCAATTGTTTCTTTTTTGTTACTAAAACTAAAATTCATGCTACTGATATGCCCTAAAGATTATATCATTTTGTGCGTTTTAAGTTATATCCATGATGGAAATTCCAAAAGCAATGTTTTAGATGGAAGGATATAGATGCATAATTTTAAAATATACTTCTGATTTGTTTGCTAGCGAACAAACTCTCCTCTTCTGGTTCTTCCCCTTTACTAGTGATTCTTGACATGTGATTTTACCTGTTCTGACTTACAGCGAGTACCACTGTACCCCTTCCCTAGCACTTGCATACCTGTCTTTATTTTTCTGTGAAACTCCTGTTTCTACTATTACCATCGGCCTTTACCAGTTGACTTCTTCAGCTTCTGCACTGCAAAAATAGTCTCTCATGTATGAAAACCAATATTTTTACTTGTGTTTTGATTTGATAATGATCCTTTTGGATGCCGAATATTTAAAACGATGTGCAATCATGCTTAACGTATGTATTTTTTCTTTTTAGTCTTAGTGTGTAGTCTTTGTACCCTCACAAGAAATGTCTTTTTCCCTTAAGGATGTGAAGAAATATACCTGTATAGACTTATAAGGCTTTTAAAAATATATTTATAAGAAATACTTTTTTACAAATCCTAAAAGTATAGATTAAGCTAAGAATACACCTTACTATTACTGCTATTGTGCAGACGGCCAGAGATTATTTTGTGTTATGGGATCTTTTGGTATACTTTGCTTTCATTGTGGCGCGGTCAGATCAGCAGAACCTGAGTGGTTTATGCTTGTGTCTTGTCAAGGAAGCCTTCCGTGCTGTTCATGGCTTCAGTTTCCAATGCGTTTTCTAATGTTTATCTTTTGTCATTTACTTGTAGCATTTTAACTGGATGTTTTGTGTGTGAAGGTAGAAAACAAATTTATTTTGCTTTCTTGGCTAGCAATCGCTCTAGCACTTTTATTCTGGAATTCCGTGTTTTTCTTGCTGACCTGAGACACCGCCCAGGTTTCTGTGACGTAGACAGGGCTCTCGCTGTGTCTAAGTTAACTGCTTTGCCACGGATTTTATGCCAAGCTATTAGTTTTACTTTGCATGACTGACATAAATTTATAAATTTGTAAATATTAATCACTGGCTAGATCATTACTGCTCCTAATATGAAATATCCATCTTTGTCTCTTTTCAAACAAATGTGGTATGGACATATATTTTATTGTTATTAATGCTATTACAACATATCTTTGTGTTTTTCTATAATTGTTAAGATTTGTCTTTACGCATCCTAAATATCCTATCCATTTGATTTTTCTTTTTTCTTAAAACAAAGCTATTTCAACTAGTAGATGATTGAGTAGATGACAGTGTCTCAATCTCTGTCTTCTAACAGTTAAATCTAACCATCCACAGCATTGTCATTATTAACAATTTTCCACTTTCCCTGGCATTTTTACTTTACTTAAAATTTTCAATTTACTATGTTCTCTTGTTATATATCTTCATAGTTTTTATTGAGTTAATGTTTCAGGTTTTTCTTTCTCTTGGTTTTTATATACTTCTCATATTTTAGTGATTATATATATATATATATATATATATATATATATATATATATATTTATCATCAGTCTCCAAAAGTAAGCAGCATCACTATTTTGTGGAAACCCTACTCTCAAAAACCAGAACGATGTTCTTTCTTAAAATCATGCTTTTTTCTTTCCTTCTTTGTGTTCCTTATTGTTATTTATTGTGCTGGTTACTTTTTTCTCATTACTGAGGCAAAAAATGCCAATTCCCAAAGTAAAGAAAGGAAAGATTTATTTAGCTCACGGTTCATGAAGGCTTCGGTCCATAATCAGCTGGCTCCGGGAAGGGCGGTGGCACAGGGGCAGCAGTTCGTGGAGGTGGAAGCCAGCCAAAGCAGCCAGACAGAGCGAGCGAGCCTCCTTTCTCCCTTACGCTGTGTGCAGGCTACCGCCCACAACATCTCCCTGCCCTCCTCTTCTGCAAGCTCCAAATGTTTACAAAGTGAGGACCTGGCCCCTGCTGAGTCTCTAAATTTCTGCACATCTGCAGTTGACACAGTTAACAACATCCTGGAGTTTCACATGTTAATTTTAAAATCTTTTTTCCGGTGTGGGGAGGTGAGTTCTTTTTTGCGGAGGGGTTTCACTATGCAGTTCAGGCTGGCCTTCAGCTCATTTTCTAGCCCAGGCTGGCCTCGAACTCACAATGCTCCTGCTGCCTCAGCCTCCCTAAGCTGGGATTACAAGCGTGTGTCACCATGCTGGACTAAAATCTACATTTTTATAAGGATTTGTCAGGATATACATCCTACTGTTTGCTCTTGATTCACTTGGGTTCTAGGTATTGTGCTTTTTCTAGTTCTCACGGCAGAAGTCACCCTTAGCTTCCGGATACACATGACATTCCCAGCACATCTGATTAGAGACGGTGTTTGTGCTGGGATGTGTAGATTCTCCTTTCCTAACACTGATCCAGGATCCCGTAGCTCAGAGATGACGTTACTGTGAAGCTAGCAAACATCTTGAAGTTGGTCTTCATTGTTATACATTTGAGTTTTGCCTCCTTGATTTTTTTCAACAGTCCTATGAGACTTGTTTATCCTTTGTGTTGATCTGAGATTCACTTTATCACTTACCCCTAAGGCCAATTGCTTTGCTTTTGAAGTGGGGAAAGAAGTTTAGTGAGCTTTGTTGGTTTCCAATTGCTCAAACTAGTGCATAAGATTTAGCTCTTAATAACCCACTGGACACAAAATGTCTAGAATGCACAATCTCTGTCCCTTAGAGGCCTGGCACTGCCACCTTGGCCGAAAGTCCTTATCTGCAGCTTCAAGAAGGGGAGGTGCCCTTTCCTTCTGCCGCTCAAGAGCCAAGTAGCTAGGGAGTGTGCGACCCGATGCTGCTGGCTCCTTGGGGTGCCATGCAACGTTTCTGAGGGGGGGAAATCCCCCTCGTGGCATCATCTCGAGGCCTCAGGGCCCTGCGAAATTGTACAGAGGTGAAGCCAGAAGTTGGGAACTGTCAAGAGTGAAATGCTCACAAATTCCTCAGGACAGGGTAATTACCTGGTGATGGCCCGAGAGTAGAGCAGTGGACCGTGGTGGGGCGATTCTAGATCAATGTCCTTCATAATTCTCAGGATGTCACGGAGCCCACTGCATCAGGACCTGTTGGGCTCCTATTATCAATCGCCCGGCTACTGATTCATTTTTTTTCTTGTTATACATTGTGTGTGGAGTGAAGTATGCTTGAGAGTGCTTTTGGACTGGAAGGAACGGTGAGCTAAGAGTGGGCATGGAAGTCCAGAGTGTAAACCCTCTTTAGTGGATCTCACCTCAGCTCAGAGGCGGTTGGGGTGAGTGTGGAGAGCAAGAAAGGAGATGCACATGGCACCCCTCTTGCTCCCGGTCCTGGGCCAGGGGACCCTGGCCTTGGAGCTGCTTCTCGATCGTTAGCTCCTGTGTGACTGGCCCTCCTCTCAGGACACACTGCCAACTGGACTGTGCTGTGATTTCCCACAGTATTCAAAGGCGGAAAGGCATCCTGTCACGGCTCTGGAGAAAATGATGGAGTCAAGTTTTGGAGGTCCCCCGCCATTCCCTGAGGTCCCTTCTCCAGACAGAGGGAGCCAGTCCATCAAACACCACAGGTAGGGGCGGCTCCTCGTGGGGGCGTGGGTCACACTGCACACATGCGCCAGCGGACGGCCGAGGTGCTGGTTGGAGGGGACCGTTCCTGCATCTCCTGTTGCTCCCCACGGAGATGTTCCAGCAGCTCGCCACGGGTAAAGCAGAGGTCCAAAGACACAGCCTCTCAGCAGACTGTGGTGCCTCCCCCAACAGGAGCTGGAAAGCCTGGTAATGCCTCCCCCAGCTGCAGGGGCAGAGAGCCAGGGAGGCAATGCCAGCTGCAACCTTGAAGGAGGGGGTTCCCTAAAGTTCCTTGTGCTGTCCTCAAAGTCTTGGGTGGAGCAGAGGTGAGAACCTGCAGGTCTTCTAATGGGGTCCTCAGAGAAGAAAACATTTCAGGGGAGATGCTGATGCACCCCCTTCTCCACGAGCCTGCAGGATCTTCTGTAGACAAGGCAGCGGCCTCTGCCATCTGAGCACAGAAGCTGCCTCTGTGGGAGGAAACCGAGCAGCACGCTGCTGTAGACATCTCATGGTACTCTGCCCCCGGACATGCCTTCAGCATCTTTTCCATCACCGAGTCTGCATTCTCTGTGTGAGGAATCTTTTCCTGCAGGCCTAGTTTGGGACCTAGTGCTAGAACACACCGTGTAGTATCCAAAATGAACATCCTTGGTCTCTGTGCAAGTTGTGACATGACTGAGTCTCCTTTTTCTTAAGAAAACGTTCGTTTTCCACACTTAAAAATATAATTGGCTGTCACCGTGCAATGCAGACAGACACTGCTGCTTTTGTGCCTGTACATGTCTCTGGGGCTGGCGCAGTAGCTGGAAAGGACCCCCTTCCTCCTCACCTCCACGTGGGGCTTACAGACAGGGTTCTCCTGCTTCTGGCCAGAACCATTTTTGCATCCCAGCCACTCCCCTAATCCACCTGACAGTGATTTTTATTCTTATTTTACTTGAGTGGTTACTGAGATACCCAGGGTTTGCCAATTTAAAAAAAAAAAATGGCTTAACTGTCTTCAGCTCGGGGTTGAAATATGTTTGACTGTTAGGTAATTGCTTCATCTCGTCATTGGAAGTTTTGATTTATATCATTTGTTGCATTTCCAGAATATTTCCTCATGAAAAGTGCATTTTGCTTTAGTGGACCTACTGGAATTTGTCTTAATTAGGGAAACAAGTCTAAAATTGCCAGCCTTTTAAAAGATGGTCATTTTTCCAAAATAGCATTTCCCCCCTAATGAATAGACCATGCACTAGCAGAGTATTCCCCAGTCTAACGGAAGAGTTTACTGTGTTACTCTAGGACTGTCATACATAACTAGTTTAAAATTAGGATTTTTAAAAAATTATATTTTGCAGTTGCAGTGTCCGTACGCCCAGTTCCTGTCTGTTTATGTTTTCTCCTAAATTTAGCTTCCACCCCAGTTTCTAGGAGTCACTTACACATTCATTGAGGACATCTTTGCTGGAATTCCCTTCTGCTTTCCTCACTGACATCTGTGGGGTACGCTGCGCCCTGGCAGGCAGCCACGGGCTCATTTATAAAGTGCTCTTAGAACTTTGTGAATTACAGTTTAATACATCATAGCTTTGGTTCTGTAAAACACACAATAGTCTTATACATTTTTGCAACTGATAACCCAGGCACTGATTTATATTCTGCAAACTGCTCCATAACTTCCTAAATGCCACCGGGTTTTAAGGCCTGAAAAGTTCGTCACTCAGATCAATGCAGAACTATTTTTAAGACAGGTCTCCCCTTCACATTAGTATACTTTGTAGTCATCCCAGGGTAGCAAAGCATGACTAATTAATTATTTTTTTATGTGCGGATAGTAACTCATTTAGGTAACTTATTTATGAAACAAAGCTATTAACCTAAGCCACTATTTCTCTCATGTGTAGTCCAAAAAAAAAAAAAAAAAAAAAAAAAAAAAAAAACAAAGAAAGAAAGAAAGAAAGAAAAGAGAAAAGAAACACAGCTGCCTCTTACAGACATCTGGCAGGCACCCGTCCTTCTTGAATTGCAGTTTGGTGCCTCCCGCTGATTGTTTAAAGCATGTGTGTAAATCTCCTGTGGGCAGGAGTTCAGGGTTCTCAGCGACCAGGCGACCCTCACAGACTCCAGCTGTGGCAGAACAGGGATGGGAAGGCAGCTGTCCAGCACCCGCTGTTAGCACCCAGCTCCCTCCTGGGCCTGACCCCCAGGGAGCCCTGTGGGACTCAGCCCAACACCCTCACCTGCTGCTCTCCTGTGCCCCGTGCCCAGCCTCTGCCTGTCTCTGTCTCACTCTGTGCACCAGGAGGGCTGCGGGCTTCCCGGTTCTTGGGCTCTGTTGACTCAGCATGGAGCAGAGGAAGGGGAGCTCCTGGCACATCTGCCCTTGTCCCCCTGCTCGGTGGCTGAACTGTGGCTCTGGGGCACAGGGCCAGGCTGGCAGCCTTGGCTTGCAGCTGTCTCTGTTCCTTGCCGAGAGACAGTGACAGTTTCTGACTGTCACTGGGTCTGAGCCTGTAGTATCTTACATAATTTTATTTTTTCTCTCGGTGAACTCACCTGTGAAATGGTAAAATCTCCTCAAATTTACAGCAGTATGTGCTTCCCTCAAAGACGGGCACAAGTATTGCCCCCCACTCACACCTCTTAGTTAAATCTATAGAGATTTCCACTGCAGCTAACTGTAGCACTCAGGCCTTTAGGCCTTTCCAACCCCATAATACTGTGCCACAGTAAGCAGGAGTAGGCGGGGAGGGAGCAGGTGGGCTGTGAGGAGAACCGCAGGCTTGGTGGCTCAGGGGGTGCCAGGCCCCGGTGTTGCTAGGCACCCTGGGACTCGGCAGAGGAGCACTGACGGGGCCAGTAAGTGATCTAGTATCCGTGCAAATTCAAGAAGCTGGCATTGGCTCAGGGAGCATAAGTATAAAGATCATTTTGCCAGAGCCAGAAAGGTGGCTTCTGCAACTCGGATGTCAAGTTCTCAAACTCTAAGTAGCAGCTGCAAAGCTTGGTTTTCTATTTCAGTGGAAATAATTGGAAGGGAGGAGGGACAGGACCCAAGTCACATAGCGGCGGGGTAGAGTTCCCTTGGGAGCTGCCCTGTGACAAGTGTGGGCACATTTTCAGTCCTCTGTCTTTGTGGAGTTGGGCTGATGTTTTCAGGATAAATGCAGGTGCTTTTCATGGCGTACAGTCCTTGGGTTTTATCTTACCTGCGTGTCAGGGTCTCTTTTTATCGAGGCCGATGACACAGACCTCACTTCTGCCCCTTGGTGGCATCTACGAACACATGAATATTTGGGGATTTTTGGATGTAGTCACCAAATGCAATTTTAATCAGGTATTAAAAGGAGACTCAAAAGCAAAAGTTTGAAATTGATGGAAATCTGGCGTAGCGAACTGAGAATTTAACACATATGTTAAGCAAAGGGAGCCAATTAAAGTAAGGTTTGTTTATCCTGCCACTCAGAAGTGGCACCGTCTCCATAAATCCCCTCTGGGTTTCCTGTGTTTTGTTCTTGTCAGCGTCTAATGAGGCCATTTTTATTCCAATTATAAAGACAGCTACTGTGGCTGAATTCTGAGGATGGAGGGGAATTGGGATCTTGAGGATTCCTTAAAGCTCCTCTCTTGTTTCTGGTTGGGAAATTGCAGTTATTTGAATCAGTTGTGTTTGAAGTAGAAAGCCAGAAAACAAAGGCACTTTTGTTTATCTCGGTGTCTCCAAAGGTGCAATAATTGGGCACCGCCCTGTCTCAGTGAGCACACAGTCCCTATCCATGGCAGACTCTGGCCTGGACCAGGGCTCTGGGGGCAGTGCCCTACAGGCGTGCCAGGCCTGAGGACGCTGCTGGGGTCTCTTTAGTTTGTCGGTTTTGTTTCCTTTGTTTTTCTCAACCAGCAGGAGTCTCTCCTCTTGCTGCAGCCCAGGGCAGAGAAGTGGGATGATGCTCCACCGCAATGCCTTCAGGAGGACGCCCCCCTCGCCCCGGAGCAGACTGGGCGGAATGGCGGGACCAGCGTATCAGCAACTTGAAGAATCAAGGATCCCAGACCAGGATGCGATACCCTGCCAAGGGTAGGTCTCCGCAGCGCTGGAGTCCGGGGGTTTGAGTACGGTGCTTTCAGCTGAGTTATGCATTCCTTGGAGTTTTATCCACTGACTTCATGACTTGGCTGTACATGCTGGTTCTATCTTTTTCTATGCAAAGGAGAACTAACTGGAAAGAATGGGGATTAGGGAAACGCTAGATTGAAAAATTAAGTTTAGATTTTTGGAGATATGCTATTACGTTGTCTATAAAACAACCAAGAATTGGTGTTTGATAAGAATAATAGAGGTTTCTTAGGAAGACAAATGTATATATTTGTTTATCAGCGTTATAGGAAAGGTTACTTAAGTTTTCTGATCGTTATTGTGGACACTGCACTAAACCAGGACTGTGACATACATGTGTCTGCTTGCACCCGGCGTTCTCTACTTGAGCTTCAGGTCAAGGTGAAGAGCACGGCCAATGGCACAATGCACAATGCCGGTGGCAGCGTAGGCTTTGCACACCACACTGTTGCTTCTCCAGAACCAAGGGGCTCTGTTTCCGGTGCACCCCGACCCCACTACGGGACCAGGCCTGGGACTGCACCACAGAGACCCACCAACCCAAGTGGCGCCCCACACCAATTCCATACCCTGAGCTTACTCCTAGACTGCAGGGAAAGGAAGACTCACCAGAGTGAGGCTCGTGTCTGAAGAGTCTGCGAGATGCAGCTGCTGGCTTCAGCTCGGTGTTCTCTTAGAAATGCTGTAGCTGAATCCACCAAGGACAGCAGAGTTTAAATGGTTTGCAACTTAAGCTCCGTAAGCTTGCGAGTCAGGTTCTTTAGAATGCAGGTTAAAGAACTCAGACCTATACTCGGTAGCATTGGTGTCTACGTCACCAAATAGTACCAAACTTATCATTAGTTTCAAGGAGAATGGAGCCCAGGTTTACCCTGGTTCTTGTCACATCTCCCTTTGTCCTTCCTGAATAATCCAGCTTAGGTCTCTATGCCTCCGAGGTCTAGGAGCTCCTCCCCCCACCCCAGGCTAAGGAGCAGAGCGGGCAGGTGTCCTAGCACATGACCTAACCTTTCTCCTTTCTTCTGGGCATGGGACGATAGAGCCTCTAACTAGCAGCCTGTGTGACAAAGCTTGCTATTGATTTCTTTAAGACCAGAGGATGCGACATAGATAGCCCGTGGCTGGTTTTGTAATGTTGAAGCAATTCTAAATGGACTGTAAAATGCATGTCTTTTAGACTTAGGGTGAGTGTTGCAAATTCAACCGAACAGCCAAATTGTCCGAAATGTGGAACCCAAGGAGCAGTGTTCCTTTCTCTTGGCCTTAGCTCTATGGTTGTAAACCTGTAACCTGTAAATAAAGTTGATTATGTTTCATAGTTTTCTTCACACATCACTAAGGACCCCTCTTAGCGCACACCTGTGTACATTTTGTCTGAGGATGAAGGTTCTTCTGAGAAAGAATAAGGAAAATCAACTTCTGAGTTTCCGAGTGGACAGAAAACCCTGCCCTGGTATCATCTGTGTTTTGCAGCACTAGTGTGGCCACGTCCTTGGCCTCCAAGGCTCAGGGTGCCTTGAGCCCGCTTGGTCCTGGTGTGTGGGCTCAGCAGTTCCTGTGGCATGCTCAGGCTCTGTGTCATCCTTTCCTCCTGGCAGACTCCGCCCGGCATCTGCCTGGTGTGATTGGGCCTGGCCACGGGTTTCCCTGCATGTGAGAGACACTGGGGTTGATAAATGAGGACCCTGAGTGCCAGCCACTCTGTGCGTCTCGGGGAGCAATCTCATTCTCAGCTCTTAAAAACAGCTATTTCCCTCCCCCGGGGGAATGCATGTCTCTCTGGACTGGAAATGGGATTGGTAATAGGATTTCACAGCTAGAGGCCCTCTGCAAATCTGGCCTTAGCCCGGAGAGTTAGTGAGTAGATTCCCAAGTGCCATCTGCCATCGAGCTCACGGAGCATGTGGTCCCTGTCTGCTAGTGAGGCTCCCAGCGGATGTGACTTCTGTCTTTGCCAAGAGCTCCAGCCCAGCTTAACCCTGCACTTGTATTAGGGTAGCCTGGGGGAAGAGTGAGGCAGAGAGGAAACTCCTAAGGGATCTTCGCTCTGATAGGAGTCTGCTTGGGAATAACTGTAGTTATGGCTCCCGTGCATCTGAGCTGGGTTATGTCAGGCAAATCAAACTGGTTTGTTCCTAGTCTAGGCAAAAAGAAAGTCAGCAAAGGCATGCACACATCTTAAAGGCAGGGATCCAAGACATGGTGAGTGTGTAAGCACGCCTGGCGACCTCTTAGGTTCAAGGTTCCTCAGGATTGTCCTTGCTGAGGACAGGAAGGATGGCAGAGTTGGACTGGCTAGCCACGGTGGCCGTGTGAAAGCTCAGGTTGAAGACTCACCTTTGGGACTGCATGAACCTCTAGCCCAGGAAAGCACAGCTGTGGGATGTCAGAGGTAGGGCTCCAGGAGGAAAGCAGATTTCTTCAGTTTAGTCAGGTCATTCCAGTGCCGTCTGCCCAGAAACTGTGCCTCACAGTCACCTATGGAAAACCTTGGTTCACCGGGAAGCAAATCAAGCAATGAGTTGTTGAACTCTTTAGGGTGCTTTGACTCACATAGTGACAGACACAACGCAAGTGTGCTTTCTTGGTTGAAAGAGAGGAAGGGCAGTTGCTAGTGGTGACACCTGCACTGAGAGACACCTGTGCGTCACATCTAGGAGCCAGCTGTGGACCCCAGGGAATGCAGAACCCTGAATGCATGCAACTCAGGATCACATGTAGACACGTGGTTCTCCTTGAGACTTCAGCTGGTAGGCCAGGACTAGGCAGCCCGCAGGAGGGAGAGGATTGTGCTGAGGTGTGCAGGGACCTCCCAGCTTGCTTCTCCCGGTAGAGACTGGGCTGGGGATTGAACCCAGAAAGCTGTGCATGCTAAATAAGCGCATGGTTTGTCACGAGCTCCACCCACTCTCAGCTCCAACCTCCCTGTTTTAATAAGTGGGAAATTAAGAGAGACTGGCATTGGTCGAGATTCCAGGGCGTGTGATGACGTGGGGGCTTGAAGTCATACTTAGCTCAAAACTAAATTGTGTCTCGGAGAGTTCTTCATGTTATAATACCATGTAAGATGTCAGCTAGGCGTATGTCCAGTAGCTGACCTGAGAAGGGACATTGTGGATAATCAGAGGAAGCATGGGTCACTAAGTCTTTAAGGAAACACTAGGCGTGTTAGGAAAGTACTTTACCTTCGCTGTTTAGTTGGATTACTCGCTTGTTGAAGCCACAATTTTAAAACATTCTGTAAGACATTTACCCAACAGGTTTACAAATAATATTTATGTCCACATGAACAATTTTTATCTGTCACCATCATAACTGGCTTCCTGGGTTCGCCCTGCTGATATACCCTGCTGCTATTTATGTGGAGTACAGTTTTATTTCAGTTCTTTTTCTTTGTTCTTTTCCATTAGTAAAGCTGGTATGCAGACTTTCTACATATTTGTTCATATGTTGGAAAAGGACAGTCTCAAGGACAGAACACAAGGGCCAGAAATTTGTCACCTTTTTGTCACGATCATTTTGATGAATCAGAAACTTTAGACTCTTATTTCTAAGAAGAAAGCAGTAAGAGCCCAGGGAACTTCCCTATACTTGGCTGAGTAGTTTGCTTGGATAAAGATTACACACTCCCCTAAAGCTGGTCTAATTTACCTTAGAATATCCATTCATGAGAGTGCCTCATTTTCATAGTAACAATTAGATGAAGGCAATTGGGTTTAATTCTTTTTTCTGTCTCTTACTAAAGATATAATCTGAGGAAGTCCCTTGAGTGTCCCTTAGGATAGCTTCCTTGTCCATCACATGATAAGGGGAGGTAAAAGCATTTTGTCATAGCCCCCTGCAAGTATTAGCTGTGTGATTTTGTTTGACTGTGGATATTAGCTGGGCTGTTCAAGTAGCTTTTACCTTGAAGGTGTTCCTTAGACCACGGCTTTCAATTGCCAACTCTACGCCAGGCACGTTAAGAAAAGATGCGGCCACCAAACCCTGAGTCTGGGCCTTATCTTTACTGTCAGTCTAGTGGAAAAGCAGACTTTGAAATTGTCCCCATGATGAATATGCAATAAAGACTTCCATGCAGTGTGCCACACACTTCATTCCAATGACTATTTAAAAATAGGCTTTACTTCTATTTCAGCGTAAACCAAGGAAGGGATACAGAGATCAAACATCCCTAAGTTCTGGTTAGAGGTGTAAGTTTAAAGACAGACAGTTAAGAAGTGGAGTAAAAGCTGCGTTCTCATCCACAAATCGCACCCCTATAAATTCCTGGGGGCCGGTCCCACCTTCTCAGAGCAGTCGAGCAGTTGCCTAGTGGCCCTGTGGTGCTGTCCGATGACTCGGAGTGGCGCCTGGGCATTCCCGACAAGCCAGTGTCACACACAAGGGACCACCTGGACCTCGCTGGGCCCCAGATCCTGTCAGGAAAGCGGCTGGGTTGCTCGTTGACCCTGTACCCACTCCCTCTCCATCCCGGGGAAGCAGGGGCGTTGTGCCCACCTGTCCCCACCCTCAGAATCAATCGGCAGCTGGCCGGGGAGGCAGCTCAGCAAGTCCAGATTGTATTACTGTAAAGCAACAGAGTCTAGGACCACACTGCTTAATGTTTAGAACTGGGCTTCCTGATCGTCTCCAGACCGGGTGGCCGAGGAGGACCCAGGGCTGAGAGGGTGGTCGAGTCGATGGAGTGGAATGGGTTTCCTGTGTGTGCTGGGGGAAGGCCACGCTTCTCTGCTCAATCCCCATTTACTTTGTATTCTAGGATAGAGGTCAGGAAGACTATGCCCCACCTGCCTCTACAGCTGTGGTGTGTTGAAAGACCCCTGGACCTAAAGTAAGACGATCTGGGTTTGAGTCTCAGTCTGTCACTGATTTCTGTGTGACCTTGGGCAAGTCACTTCACTGACCCGAGCTTCAGCTGGCTTCTCTGTCCTCCTGGGAGCGTGTTACCGCCTCCTGGGGCTGTTGTGAGCGTTCCGTGAGACAGTGCATGCGGAAAGTTCGTTGTGACTGACTGTTACTCTCCGCAGGCGAGGTGGCGGCCAGGGTGTGTGACGCTTTCTTTCTTTTCCAGGTATTCATCCAGTGGTATAAAACCCCGACAAAATTCATCAATAAATATGCAACTGCCTTCAAGAGAAACAAACCCCTATTTTAATAACTTGGATCAGAAGGACCTGGTGGGATACTCATCCGCAAGGGCCAGTTCTGTGCCCATCATCCCCTCGATGGGCCTGGAAGAAACCTGCATGCAAATGCCAGGGATTTCTGAGGTCAAAAGCATCCCATGGTGCAAAAACTCTTACTCTGCTGACATGGTCAACGTGAGTATTCCCGTGAGCGACTGTTTTATAGCAGAACAACAGGAAGTGGAAATATTGCTAGAAACTGTCCAGGAGCAGATCCGGATTCTGACTGAGGCCAGACGGTCAGAAGACTACGAACTGGCCAGTGTAGAGACAGAGGACAGCGCAAGCGAAAACACAGCCTTTCTGCCCCTGAGTCCCACGGCCAAATCAGAACGAGAGGCGCAGTTTGTCTTAAGAAATGAAATACAAAGAGACTCAGCGGTGACCAAGTGACTGGAGACGTAGGGATCTGTGCGTTGGATGCTTTGCTCAGCAGGAAAGAGAGGAGATTAAATACAAATTATTTATATGCATTAATTTAAGAAGCATCTACTTAGAAGAAACCAAATAGTCTATCGCCCTCATATCATAGTGTTTTTTAACAAAATATTTTTTTAAAGGGAAAGAAATGTTTCAGGAGGGATAAAGCTTACCACGGAAGCTTTTGGGTAGCATTCTGAACCCCCTTTGAGTTAGTCCTAGCCTTGTCCTGTTTGGGCCTCAGAAGAGGCGGGCCGCTGAGACCAGGTGCCACAGTGCCACCGTCCCCACCAAGGTAGCCTGGCAGGTGCCTGGTGTGTCCCTGCACCGTGTACCAGGGAGCAGGTGGCCCTTGCCATTCGGCGTGCCGATGCCAACCCCTAAATTTCCACTAAACCAACACCCATATCGCAGGTCATGTGTGTCAAGAAGCGTAGTGTTCTGTATTTGATTTTGGAAGAAAGGCATGACAACTGCCAGGGAAAGAGACGGCGGTGGTGGGGAGCGGCTGGAGCAGACTTTGCTATGCCCTTGGGCCATCTTCCTCTGAAATTCGAAAGCACAGAATCTCAGAGGGAGGAGAGAAATCACTATAGAGAGAGACAGACAAGAAACTCACAATGTCCTGTCACTAAAATGATGCTAATAGAAATGTTCTCCTCAGAGATTGCTCACGAGCTCTGAAGGAGCATTTCTCAGTGTGTACGCGTGTACGTGTGTGCGCGAGCGTGCAGAGGTGTGAACTTGCTCCCCGGGGCACGCGTGCTCTTGCACATGTGTCCTTTGTGCGTATGTGTGTGCATGTGCGTGTGTGCATTAAGCTTGCTCAAATTTGTTCTAAAACATCAGGGAACCTGATACTCAGATAAAAGTATTTTCCCTCTTGGATCTGTTCACTTTCAATTTTTCCATTGGAGACACTGTTCAGTGGGCGAGTTCTTAAAATCAAGGCCACTTGCATGAGGAGTCCTAGAAACCCCTGACGAGGTCCAGACAGTTTTATGATGTGAATCCTTCAAAAGAAACGACTATTGGCTTTTTGGTGATATCGGTATCACAGAGTGTATTGACGAGGTATGTGTTTATTTTGAATCATATCCACTTACATCCTCTACACGGGCCACTTATCAAACTGACGGTGGCTATTTTATTTCTCATCAGCCTCATGGCTATCGGGTTAGAGCAGGTCCACTATTTGTGGACCAAAGCATTGGCTTCTGTGGTTAATGCGGAAGGAATGAATTGTTGAAATCCCAAGTCCAAACTACTCAGTTCACGAGAAGCCCCCCAAAAGAACAGGAAATTGTGTTGTATGTTCATTTGGAATAAAGCAATATTTTTACCACTGCTGAGGTGAACTGAACCCTCTCCGGGAGATTCGTCTGTTCCATTTCCCTCACGTTCATGGGGCATTCAAGGAAATTAGTGTTCACAAACCCAGTCGTTTTCCAATTATTGGTGGTGTTGAGTTGTTATGTTTACACTGTTTTAAATAAAAAGGCACAGTATTTGAAACTACATAAAAGATTTCTTTTACTTGTAGTTTGGGAAAGCCTTGGTGAGAATGACTTTTTGGAGGCTCACACACTATGGAAAAGGAATATAACTATTTCAAGCCGTGAAATGTACAATGCTTGTTTCATGTGAAGCTGTTTCTGTTAAATATATGTCACAAATCACTCTGTGAATAGTCGGTAATACAGACAGGTGACCACCTGGGTAAAGAAAGGTGCTCTGTTGTTTGGCTTTAGTTAGCACCTGTGGCAGTACATGTTTACACCCGCTGTGGGAAGCATGGACGTCGTCCCCTGCCCAGGCCTCCCCTCTGCCCTGCAGCAGCCTCTTGCCCCCTTCCCTTTTCTTTCTGTGTAAGTTTCCCCGTTGCTGTTGGAGCAGGTGCATGGACCTAACCCACTCCAGTTCTTTTCACCCACCCTCACCCCCTCTTGATCCCATTTGCCTCTAAAAGAACTGTGGTCTCTCTTTTGTTCTGCTCCGTAGTCTCACTCTGGGTTTCTCCTGTTAGAGAATCCACGTAAGGGGGAAGCTTGTGTGTCACGTAGCATGATGGTCTCCAGGTGCATCTAACTCAAGTCTCTCTTCCTGGCAGAGTAGTACCCACTCTAGGTAAACAGCCCACGTCCTTTGTGCATCTGTTGATAGACACATGGGCTGCTTCAAAAGTACGGCTGTTACAAGTTGTTCTGGCATAAGCATGGATATGCATGTACCAGTCTAAGATGACACCTTGAACTCTTTTGGAAGGACACTCAGAAGGGAATAGCTGGGCCCAGTGGAATTTCTAGTTTAGTTTTTAAATCAAATCCGAATAACAGTAATGCAAAGTCCCTGCTGAAAACACTTTGGTAGAAAGGCATTTTAAATTTAAGAAAAGATTAAGCGATGTTAGTTGTTTCATTATAGTTTTGTTGTTTTGACTATCAAGGGATTATTTTTATTAGACTTTTTTAATTATAAATTTTAATGTTCAGAGAAAATTCTCATTTTTATATAAATATTTTATCTTTGGAAAAATTTTAGAAAAATGCACTCAGTAGATATTTTTAAAAACACGTGAAATGAAGTATCCAGTATGCTAACATGTTGATAATCACAATTATCAAAAAGCTGACAGGCCTGTGGCATCCAATGAATTATTTTTTCTCCCCTAAATTGTTATCTGCTGCTTGTTAAAGGGTCCGATCAGAATTCACCTACTTAGAGGGGTGTGTACTCTCTGGCTCATTTCATTGTAATATATTATATACACTGAAGAAATGAAGCTTGCCAGTGAAACTCAAGTCGTGATTCAACATCTTATTTTGAAGCTGAAACAGAACCACTGGTTACAGTTTATTTCCTTTTCCTGTACACCCTAAAGAGCATGGCTGTCAGTCTACCACTGGCTGTGTGCTCACATTAACTCCTCGAGAACTCAAGACGAAATCTTCTAGAAGGGACACGTAGGAGTGGCTGATGTCAGGGGTTATTTGTGTCCTTCTGGAGGGGAAGCTCCTGCACAAGGTGTGAGATGCACGTTTCCGGGCATCTGCTCATAGATGCTGACGCCAATCAGACTTGGAAAGTCACCTGACATAGACGTGCCTGTAGCCATGAGCATGCATCGTCCAGCTGGTGTGCCTGCTGGGACGTGCTGATTTCCACAGGACACCTTGCATTTTGCCTCTCCGTGTCCTCGTCTTCATCATGTAAATAGATATGCGGAGACTTTATACTTAAAGAGGCTGAATATTTATTATTTATTGGAGAAGGGACCTCACCCATTATTCTTACTTTGACTCACCTTCTGATATGTAATTCCATAAAGCTCATCATAATTTCAGTTGCTAGCAAGGATTGCAGAAGGCTGCTCAAACTCTGCGCAATCTTACGCTAATCTGAACTAGCACATATGAATTTGGAAAATGACCATCAGGTTTTCTCTTCCTGGTTCTCTACGTTTGTGAAGTATTTCACACTTTGGCCCAATATCTACCTTGCTATGGGTTAAGGGCTATTAGGAAGTTTATCATATCTCTAATGATGCACATTAGTCCTAAATAGCAATAGCCAGGACTTCTGCAGGAGGATGTGTTGCAAACAGGGTTTCACGGATCACTCTGTTTTCATCGTGACACCCTATCACCCCTACCCAAAGGAGAACGGAAGGGCAGACCGACCTCGAAGTACACCTTGTCTTCAGGAGAGAATGGCAGGCACAGACTGAGGGGGAAACTGAGGCCGTGGCTAGCAATGACCAGATCCCCCGGACACTCTGATGTGCGCAGCCATTGCCAACACCCGTCCTGCTGTATGGTGCTATAGGAAACCACATTCCTCTCTCTCTCTCTCTGTGTGTGTGTGTGTGTGTGTGTGTGTGCAGAGGAGACGGTGACCCCTTTAATTCCAGTCCTGTAGACCTAAAATAAGTGCTATGAAACATTTCTCAATCGAGGCCATAGTAGACCTAGAACACAGCAGAGGAGGGGTGGGGTTTTTATTTGATTTTTTGGTATCTGGGAAACATTTTATATATCTAAATGGTACTTTTTTATTATCATTCGATTGTGTAGACTCAGTGCAGTGTTGTCAATGGACTGCATGTCCACCCTGTGTTTGTACTTCTGTCCTCAGAGACGCCCTCTCATCCAAGCAGACCAGCACCAGGTTTCCGCAGTTCTCCATTTTAAAGGCATCGCAGCAGGTCCTGGGAATCGAAACCTGATAAGCTTTATCTCTTCCTTCTCCATTCTCTCTTTCCCTCTTAAAGAAATATTGAGCGTAAAGGAAGAAGTGCATTCCTTCAATCTACATTATTCTCCTTTAACCTATTTCTGACTGTGATTACATGCACACACACACCAACACACACATCAACATATACGTGTAATTAAATTTGAGTGGTCATTTTGGTAGCTTTATTTTTGCATAGTTTGACAAATGCCAGTGATTACCTCATGAAATGCCAATAAAATCGAAGCATTTAGTGACCAGCTGACTTGGAAATGTTTGGAGCACACAGGCATTTTCAGTTTTTTCTCTGTCTTAGACAAGCAGAACTATCCTTGGGTGGGAAAATTCTCAAACCCTGAATAAATTTCTGCTAGATTCGCTCCTGGAATTGAAAATTAATTAAGGGGTATAAATGACTGCTGTCTCTATGGTGTGTAATGGGCTCAAATGCAGTTTTTACAAGTTTAACCAGCATTTCTCCCCAGGGCACCCCAGTAGGTGTCTGACTGCACCCTGGACTCCCCAGGGTCCACCAAGCTCCTGTAAGGGTGGGGTGGTGTGGGAGTTCGGAAGAGACTCACAGTGCGAGCCGAGCCGTAGGTGCCCAGAGAAAGTGATATCAGGGCGGCAGACACGACCTTGATAAAAGAGAGAGCAAGCTTCTAGTACTTCGATGACTTGTTTGTTTATTTTGGTCAGGAAAGCCTGTATTGACTGCACGTGTATGGTTGCCTATGGAAGAATTGTGCAATAAGAACCAATCTCATTGCTGGAAATGAATTGGAAAATCGCTATATTGAGAAGTTGTCTTTGTGGAAGCTTCTAACTTATTGATACAAACAAATTGCTCTGTCAAGAAGGTAGCTGATGTAGTACACCTTTGATTGTCCTTCCAAACTGAATACCTTGTTTTCCAGGCATTGTAACCCAGATTTACCTGGTCAACATTTCACTGAATCATTTTAACCTGACTCTTTAGGATTGACACTTACTTTCCCTAGAAAAATTGGTGTGATTCATTCTGTGGTTATTTTTAAGGTAAACTTACCTGCACTGGGTAACATAGAAGTGATGGTCACAAAAACACCCAGTTCCAAAGCTTGAAAAATCAGATGTCAAAATTTTGCCTCAGATATTTTTCTTAAACTACACAGATTGATCAAAGAGACAGAGCCAAAAGAAGACATCAGGCCGTACACAGACTCAAGTATGAGAAGGTAAAGGTGTTTAGTGATACTCTCAATAATTTGCTCCTCAAAATTCTTAACATAAACTTTCTAATTAATAATGAATACGTTTTCTGAAGACATTTTCCATGATTGTTACACAGCCCTAACTTGAGGAATGCAATGGGTAAAGGAATGCAAGGTTCACTGATGTGTGGTTATTGCTGTTTTTGACAAAACAAATTATCAACATGATCTTCTAAATATCATCCTGACTAATGCTGATTCTTCCATATATTATTCGTCTTGGTCAAATCCTAAAGTCTGAACTCTTTCATAGTGTGCAATAAAACCATGTGATATGTTCAAATACTTGGAACAATGATGGTAAATTTCAGTTGTGTTGTGCTTTTAGTTACTAGGATTCTATGGAGTAGTTTGCAAAGTTGAATTTGGGGAAAACAACCATATTTTTGTACTTGTTTTTGGTGCATATAAAAGTATGGTGAAACACAAAACACATCCGTGCTATACTTTACTTTGATGCTATGCTTTTAAATATAAATTTAACGGTTTGAATGGGCACAGAATACACAGACCCCACGGTGTTGTTGGACTGCAGCACACTGGAGACACGGGTTCAGTTACCTTTCACGGAAAACACCTGCAACAAGAAAGCACAGAGTTACTCTCTTAAGGTTTATTCTTCATGACCTGTTTTTGAGTCCTGTCTTTGTGAGTAAATGTCTGGAAAATAGATGCATGTGTTCCAATCAGAACTAACGGGAGAACATTAGGAACTCACATGAAAAGTCTCCATGCATTTTCCAGTACCTGCGGGGTACGAGTTAGTGAGAAACCCCTTGCCTTTCTTGTACACATTAAGTCTAAGTAAGAAAAATGAACCCCCAGTTTTTAGTAATTGATATACTTTGACAATTTAACAATATTTAAATATTGTTTATATACTCTGACAATAATCCTTTAACAATATCTAAAATAAAGAATGTCAGTAACGGGAGAACGCAGGAGACAATGTTCACTTTCACTTTTTAAAGAATGTACTCAGCAATCATCTCCTGCGCCTCTGATTAAAAACTGTGTTCCAAGAAAAAGAATTGCGTCG